TGAGACTGTATTGTTCGGATTTGAATCAGCGCAGAATAACACGAAATCACATCGATCTCGTCGAATGAAAATCACTTCGGATTGTTCATTCCACGAAAATTCAATTTGTATGCACATACACATGCATGAAGTCGTTCTATAAATTTCAGAAAAAGATTTTAGAGGTTACAAAACTCGGCGCTGACATGAAACTTTAGTTTCAATTCCCGTGGCTATTACGATAACTGCCCGGTATTAATCAGGAAGCCAATTATAAACTCATTTGCAGATTGCCCATTCAAAATTTTATTCCTCTCACCAATGATCAGAAAAATTCATGACGCGGGCAGCCCCAGCGACACAGTTGCCGCGTCGTCTCGCTCCGTCCCCCCCCCGGCCCAGGCGCCATAATCCGTCGCCGCTATTGGTCACTTTCAATCGTTAATAGTTCAAATTTGAGGCAACCGGGAATTTTTTAAATATTTTTCCCAAATTCCTCATATTCTCATACATCAACCCACGAGAGGTCTAAAGGTCGTTTTGAAACACCCTGTAACACCTGCGAAATTGAATTGAATTGCAACACCTATATACTTAAATGAATTTGAAACATCACATTTGAAAAAAAACATCAGAAAGCTCAATTTTAGGGAAATTAATGAAAAATTCCAAATTTTCAACAATCATCATAAAAATCAAATCAACCACGATAACTATCGTAATCATCTTGTAATTACGACTTAGTGGTATTGAAACAAACATTTTAAACTATGATTGAATTTGAAACATGATATTCAAAGATATCCCCGGAATTTTAATTTTCAAAAAATACAGAAATTTTACAAATTTTCGAATAAATCAAAACAACGATTAGTGCTATCGCCGCGACCTTCGAAGTCGCTCAGAAGAATATCCAAACAAATTCTTTAATCTTATAAACAAAATGTTCATCTCTGGAATACTATTAGTCGAACACTGTCGGTATTTTTTCGTAATTTCATGGGAAATATGGTAATAATTTTCATGATAGTGACATTGAATCCGATATCTAATCTATCACTAATCGATTTAGCACTAATCGATTTAGGGGAAAAATGGTTATGAAATTTCAAGTTTTAGGTAGAATACAAGGAAATTCATCAGTTCCCAGTGGGAGTGAGACGGAAATTTTACAGCTTGTGTGACGTTTGAGACTTTCGATCCCAGAACTAGTCCTTCTGGATAGAGCTCCTCGGGTCGCCAAGTTGACCCACAGCTCCGGCAGCACGTTCGGAAGAACTCACGGGGAGTTCGCTCAATTGAGGGATAAATTCAGGATAAATCGGGAAAATGTCTTCAAATAATGGCACCGGTCAGATCGATTAACTTATATTATAAGTAAGATATCCTCCTTTGTGTCGTACAAGACAGAATTAAACCGGGTTCAGTGCACGCGTACTAATTAGAATTCTCGACTATTCAGAGGGAGGACCGACTATCCTGTTCCGCCTCTAACCGTGATCTGCTAGTTTCTGGGGACTCCAACTCCTTGCAGACCCAAAAACGCTGATCTAAACGGTCTCACGGTGCTGTCCTCTAAGACAGTCGTGCTATCATCATTGACAATCTTCAACACAGTCACACAGCTCCGTATTCGGGGAACTGGATTCATGTAGCACCGTGAGACTGCTGACTCTAACATCGTTCCAACTCCAACGTTCATTGGGACGCTATTTTCTTAGAAAATATTCGTATAAAATATAACCGACGTGAGACTGAAGGTCCTCACGTCACACTTGATTGAATTTTCCAAAGAATATGAATATTCAGAAACAAAATCATGTAAATTTTAAATTTTTCTCCGAATTTTTCTGATTTTTCCCTATTTTTTTACGGAAGAATTTAATTGAAAAACCAAGTATTTCATTGATTTTTATATCACTCGAACAGAAAATCAATGGAATATTTGATTCTTTAATAACACGATTTTCTGAAATTTCAGCGGAAATTAAACATGATAAAAATTTCCGCGATGTGACATATAGGTTCGCTCCAACAATGCAAGCGTCTCTCTCTTACGCACGGATTCGTATCGCGCTAACTCTGCCGCTCCCACACGAACAAGACCGAAGACAAGTGGACAATTATAATCATTAAGAATACAAAAAATAGTATATTTTTTGTAAAGTTCATGATTACAAAACATTCTTTGGGCTGAATACAATTGAAAAAGCCCAATTTTTCGATTGAAAATTATATTTTTGGAGTGAAAAGGGGGATTCTTCATTTTTAATGAAAAATGTAATGAAAAAGAAACTAAAAAATGAAAAAAAAATATCGCAGGGCATGAGAACTACGGACAAATGTGATACAAAAAAAATTATAATTCGCATTTTTGGTCAAGTTACACACACTTGTTTATAGCACGGCGCCCGCATCGGCGTACGCTCCGATCAACAAATGGTCATATCTCGACAACTATTAGTCATAGAGACCTAAATCAAAAACCATTTTTGTTTCTATGAAATTATCTACCTTTTATTCACTGCATGTCTCGATAACTTCTCAATGATTTTTGAGATATTTCAATTAAAAATGGCCTAGCCAAGGCGTATTTTTTAAATAAACAAAACGTACCTCCTGGCTTTAGGATCCATTTTTCTCCTATGCCTTCCCGAGCATTTCAAAAACAAAATTTTCAAAATCGGTTTACTATTCTCCAAAGTGAAACCAAACCCTATTTTTGAAGCCCCACCGACTGGGCTATGTATGTACCGAGATACGTTCCGTTGCTGTCTGAAAAACCTCCACGTCATGAGACAAATAGTGAAGAGAGGATTACGCTTAAATAAAAAAATTTGCAACTTTTGGAGAATAATGCACTTGAACAACAATGACAAGATTATATTACACTCGAAGATTAATACTTTTGGATTATATTATACACTCACTATTTGATCCTGTTTGTGAATTGGTGAACAAATGCCAAAGAGCAGAAAGCAGTATTGCAGAAGGAACTGAGCTCTGGGTGACATTAAATATTCCAACTGAGAGTGATTCCATTCATAAAACCCTGGAAGGTCGATGGAATAAGATACCCATTGCCTTGGTATCAAATTATTTGTATTCGGAATATGGTGGGGAATAATTCAATCATTTGGAGTCCTTCAGCATATGGCAAACATATGGATCAAAATTTAAAAAAAAATACTTTAATCGATGTGAAACTATTTGGAAATAATAGTGCAAATGTTTTTCCCATTTGGAAAACTAATATTGTATTGATAACAATGAAAAAAGAATGCCCGCAATATTGCTCTAGAGTCACGTGACCGAGTCTTCCCCTTCTATTCCTTTACCATTGTCTAGGTAATGTCCGTCACGTGGACCTGGATATCACCTTTATCAGAAGGAAGTCTCCAAGTTCTTCGAGGAGAACCTCCTGAAGACCTCCCTGGCCTCCACTCTGGAGCAGATAGAGCGCTTGAAGTGCTCCAAGTCCCACCTGATCACTGAAGAGTACCTGCACAAGCTCTACAACATCAAACTGATTGAAATGCGAAAGCCGCTGCACATATTCACGATGGTCCTGGACACAACCTGCCTGTAGACCTCCGAGAGCCTCTACTCGAGCATCTGCGGAGAGCCCCGACGCCTCTCCATCTCCAGGAGCTACGAGCACAAGGAGATAATCTCATGATTCTCGGCATGAGAAAACACTCTGAGCTCGTCGACGACACGAGCATCGTTTAGACCTGGCAGAGCGAAGTTCGAATGGGAATGCAGGATACCCTGGGGCACAAGTGCCTCAGGGAGAGCTCCCCAGAGGACGGACCACTACTTCTCTCCTGGATGCTAGGAAACTACGCAATCGAGCCTGAAAGCTCAGAGACTTTCAGCCAATTCCGACCTTTCGGAGTTGGTGCAGTCCACCTAGACGTCTTCAGGTACCTCCAGGGTCTCATTATCAAACCCATCATCTCGAATTAGGGGCCAATGATTTACCTGAGTTTGATGAGGTGCGAGCCTGAGGACAACAGGTGCTCCAACAGCTCCGATCCAGACAGATTGGAGATTGAGGATCGGGATGACAATGATGATGATGCTGATGAGAATGGATATGACATGGGAGTCTATTCTCGAGTTGAAATCGTGCGTTCGATTTCGGCAGATCGCATGCGACCCATAAGGCGTACTATGAGTCGCATACGACTTGTTGAATTCGATCGTACGATTTCAATTCGAGAATAGGCTCCATAACTGTCAAGCGTAAGAGAGTCGAGGATAATTACGATGATTGCCAGAGAGAGTAACCTAATCGCAGTCCAGTCAATCGAATGGACACACCTGAGAGCAACTGCTTCGTTGATTGGAAAGCTGTTCAAGTCGGTGCTGAAATCACTCGACTCTGCTCAGTATGGATGATTCAGGTGAATCGTATTCGCATTGTTCTATTCACTCGTTTGTCGTTAGAATTTTAAATTGATAAAAATAAAGCAATTTTTTAACAGATCAAACGCTTGTCTGTTTTTGCTTTCACCAAATTATTAGGCTCCTCTATTCGTAACTCTATTATTATATATTTCTAATGGTATTTATCATTCACCTTTTACGATACAGTAGAAAAATAGAATTCAAAGTACTAAAGAATAGTATGCCTCAGTCCATCATTTCCCTTCATTTTCGCAGTTTTGTGAGCATGAGCATTTAGATTACCACCAAGTATTTTAACCAGGCAAGTGCGAAGTTGGGGTCGATGAGTTGAGCAATTTCGTGAAGATTATTTTTGGAATACGAGATATTAGAAAATTAGTTTTGAAAGTGAAAGAAAAGAATTTTATTGATTATTTTTTGTGTCATTTGTTATAAAATAATTGGAACATTTCCACTTGAAATTGCAGGGAAAATTCCCAAAATAATCTGTGAAATATCTCTACTCATCCCAAGTCTCCTCAACTTCCCCCAACATTTATAAAAATTTGATGAAAAAATGGAATGAATCAGTGAAAAATTCGTCAAGTGTCAATGAATTTTATTAACTTGTGAAAAACACAATACGTGAGCAACGATTCAATTTTTTCTTGATCATCTCATTTTCGAATAAGTGATGACAGCGGCGGGGGCAGTGAATCCAATAAGACTGTCCAACAATTTGTAATTCACTTCTTGAATGATCGTTCAAATAAAACAGATGTGAAGGCGATAAATAAGGCGTAACATTGTCAGATGATGGTGTGAAATCCTGGGGGGATTGATGAACTTCGAGGGGATGATTTAGGGGTGTGCAGTTTCCTGAGGGCTCTGATGTTGGGTTGAAGGGAGTGAGCGATGCACTCGACAATTCAGGGAGTGAAAGGGGAGGGAGGGGTGGAGGAGGTAAAATGGAGGGTGGAGAACTTGGATGGACACTTGTTGGAGCCTCTGCAGTACCGATATCACTCCCCAGTACCGAAGGATATTCACTCCCTTGGTTCTCCCACAATTCTCTTGCTCCTCCAGGAAACGATCCATATAGTCCCTGGTTAACATTTCGTAAAATTTTCAAATGATTCAACAATTTCCAAGAATATCCGTTCCATTTGAAAATTGATTTGCGTAAAAAAAATAGTTGGAATTACATTTTTCCAAAGGATATATATTTTTTAAAGATCGCCTTTTATAAATATGCATTTTCTATTTCATTTTTTATTATATTTAAAGTCGAGTGATTGATGGATATTTACGTTATACCAGGATGCAGGACGTATTTCTTCTTTTCTAGACGAGTTTTGTAAGTGAATGTCGAGTCTTTCTGTTTTTTTCCAGAGTAGTAGAACTGTACGGGCTCTCACCCACTCATCTCATTTGTACCTGGATGAAATAATAAATGACATAATTAAAATTTCAAATTTGGAGAGAAATGTTTTTAAAAAATAGTTATTCTTATAATTTACACTGCTAGGAAATTTAGCTTTATATTTCGAATAGAAACTCTTGAAATTTTCCACAATTACTCATGTCCAAAAAAAACTTGTTCAAAATCTGGCCTTTATTTTGAGCCAACTCATTTCCCCGTTCCTTACGGAAATTCCCGTGAGCGTGTTCCATGGTGGTCAGTATACCATCGACTTTCATCAGGACCGAATCACTGAAACTTGTCCGGGCGCACATCGGCGCATTTATCGGGAAACCCATCGGTAAAGTTATCGAACCTCATCGTAAATTATCCGGTCAGTTATCTAAATATTGCGTGTTTGTACAGTCCACTTCGGTAGATCGACTATTTATTAGAAATCCCTCGAGTGTATACTTCAGTGCACTAAGTTTTTAAATATAGTGACAATCAACGTAACTCATGTTGATTTATTCTCCGGCAATTCATCCCACTTCATTTTCCCTCCCGATCTCCCTATCATCAGAATCACACAAGATTCTTAATACACTTGATCTGAAATTGACTTAAAATTCAGAATATTGAAAATTCCGAAGCATCCATTCCTTCAATTGAAGGAAAATTTCTTACAATATCATGCTGGTCCAGAAAAATGTTAGACCATTCTGACAGTCCACCAACTTCCTCCTGACACTTTCTACAAACCCCTTAGGAAACCCTTCATACCTTGTTCTTCTGAATTAAATAAAACTCCTTTCCATGAGTTCTCAACCCAGACTCGAAATTATGACACTTCTCCTGTGACCAAAGACCAATAGCATCAATAGGAAGGAGCACATTCATCCCCCTCCTCCTCAGGGCCTCCTCCAGATTAGACTAGAAAAGTAGATAGAGAGCCTGTTCATCGTCCCTTACGTGAGTCCCAGCTGGTAGCGATTCTTTATCTCTTTTTCTCTAAACCGGAAAAAATAACTTTAAAGAATGTTAAATAATGTGCACATCCAGCATTTTTGATTTTTTGCTTTTTTTCCAATGAAAATTTGTAGTGAATTGGCAAAATACTACCTATCTAGGGTCAGTTGTCGATAGATATCTAGTAAATGAAAACAGACAAAAACTAATGGATTGGGCTGTTGGTCGCTTGCTGCGCTCGCTCCCATTGCGGGTGGGTTGGTAGCGGATGTATTCATGTGGGTCTGACCCGTCGGACAGGTCGCACCAACAACTTCTCGATATTATTATTCCTCCCATTTTGACTAAAAGAATCCTTTTCAACTCTCAATACTCTGTTTATTTATTCATGAGAAACCCTTGTCTGAGCGATTTTCAAACTTTTCTCCAGGGAATTTTGGAAAAACCACTGGAAAAATCACTGGAGTTTCAGAAAATCCTAGATAAATCACTGGAGTGATTGACTTTAGTGATATCCTGATGTTGACAATGCTAACCACGTCATTTATACAGGAGAAATACTTATCTTAGCCATTTTCAAACATTTCTCCAGGAAAATTTGGAAGAACTACTGGTGCGAATCACTCCAAAATCTAATCAGGTCTAAGTTACATGAAGACTTTTCGATTGCGTCCTCCATCATCTTGATCGCGCGAGTCATTCGGGAGAAATCTCTTCGTTTGCTTCTGAAGCTCCTGAGAGACGGAGTTCAATGTGGACACCAGACTCCTGCTATGGCCTTCTTTTACTGTATTTCGTCGTTTTACTGGTCGGTGTGCTTTCGCTGTGAATTTCCAATACGAATATGAAAAAAAAGCAATAGACCTCAGAATGGATAATGAATCTCCAAATCATTTTTGACTGAAAGTGTTGGGTTTTTTCATTGGATTGGCTGCACAGAAATCTATCTTCTCATTTACAAAACATTAATTTTGAGTGAGGGTTCTTTCGACTTTTCAATGTATTTATTTCTTCGTGTATAGTTCGATACAATGAACCAACGATATTTTTGACGCCACAACGTGTAATGATCTATGAAAATATTTCTCAGTAATATTTTATTTTATACTCACCCTATTTATTCCTGATTGAGAACATACAAAAGGGTATGTAGTCCGGTATAACTCCATGTAGAATTAATACTCACAATTAATTTAACAACTTGAAGTATCCCAGATGTTCTGCTCCGAAATGGAGTTGGCTTTGTTGTTTGCTCGCAAATTGCTCCGATTGATTGATGCTTTCTGATTATGCTTTTTCTTCTTTTTTCATTTTCTTAAATTAATTGTTCATAAGAATTTTCATAATACTGATTATGCAGATTAACGGAACAATCGATTTTGTTCATCACCCGTTCAATTTCAATATTTCAATGAGTGATTCTGTTTTTTAATTTCTATGCTTATTGAATAAAATTTAACAGACATTCGATTTTAATTGTAATATGGAATCGAGATTCTATCCAGGGCATGAAATGCTCGGTACCCCAGGATTTTTCAGATTTTTCCTCCATCGCCATTTCGCTTTACGCCCCTACAAAAACATTCAATTATTTTTTCTGGAACAATTATCTAACCAATCCTGATATCTTTTCGCTGATTTGAAGTCTTCTCTACTAATTCATGATGTTCTTCACAATTTCATTGAAAGATTTCAGAAACTTTGATGAATGATGTGAAATTTTTTCTATCTTACATGATCTTCTGAAATCTTATGAATTTCTTTTTCATGTAACTTGAAGATTTTGTCAATTTGTTGAAAGAATTGATTGAATTCCTCGATTTTCTAAAAATTGTTTTCTCCTTCCTGATTTCAACCAATCAGAGTGCAGTCGCAAAGTTGATGCTCTTTCATTATGCCTTCTCTTGCTTTCATTGTATTCTAATGAATCTTGCGATTAATAAGAACTATTTGTTTCGGTTCATGACCTGTTCAATTTCAATATTTCAGTGAGTGTTTCGCTCATTATGAATTTCTGTGATGACTGATTGGGATTTTCATCATAATTATCAATGAAATCTGTTCGGAGTGCAAAACAATTATTATACAATTTCTTGTAGCTATTTTTACAATTATTCGAGAATTTCCTGAACTTGAAACTTTGATACATCATTTGGATTTTTTTCAAATTTTCTAATGTAGTTCAGAAATCCTTGTGATTTTTATTTGAACTTGAAAATTCAGTTGAATTTTTGAAAAACATCCGAGGAGATGAATTTCTGCTCCTTCATTTCACCCAGTTTGCAGTATTCGGATTCACGTGACTCAGCTGGCATTTGAACCTCAAAAAAGCCCAAAATAATGAATCAATTCAGACTCAGTGAACCGAATTTGAAAAATTTGAAAAATTTCCAAAAGTCCTCTATATTGACCTGATCTTCTTAGTATGTAAACAATTGACAAATTGGCTCTTTTGGACAGAATTTTTTTTCCTATGAAAACACCCAACATTCAGAAGAAATGTTCTTATGTTCTTAAACATTTTTCCGCATTTGCAACAGTTCCATCAATATGAATTCATAAACAGATGATTTCCCTGATGAATCAAACCCAGAGTTGACTCTGGGTTCGTGGACATAACCCGAGTCGACATTTTTTTTTATCGTTATTTTACATCGCTTCGACCCGGTTAAGGTATACTGCGATGATGATCAAGACTTTAAATGGTTAGATCGAACCATTCTACCCGGCCGGGATTTGAACTCGGAACCTTTCGCATGTGAGACAACGAACTTACCCACTGCGCCAAGCCACCGGGCGTAGAGTCAACTCTGGGTTTTCTCCATGAACCCAGAGTCAACTCTGGGTTCGATTCATTAGGGTTTTTGAGGTTTCTTCGATATTGCCTACTAAAAATGTTGATTAAATTTTCTTTCACATTTCACGCAATTGCTTATGTTTTTATATGATACATATGATTCATTAAGGAATCTACTCTGTGTATTCCAAATTATTCTTTGAGATAATTTGTTTCAATACAAAAAATCGATCTTCAATGGGAAAACATTTTTTTTTTATTATTCAAGACATTTCAAAAAAGATTGGTCTTCATTATTTTTCCCCCCACTGAACCGTTTGATTGATAAAAAATGATAAACAATGACGAACGAATTCATTTATCATTATTTACTCAACAATTAGTCGGGATGGAGGCAAATATCATAACGACTTGACTTTGTTAAAATGTCTGGCATATTCAGGAACAAAATTCTCCCTATGACAATTAATTTTTTTTTCCTTTTGTTTAAACAATACATGAAAAATCAATCCGGTGTACATGAAATAGGCATCTCCATTAAATATCCACGTATGATATGCAGAACCAATGTAACCACGGGAATTAAGAAAAAGAAATCAGTCAGCATTTTAAGTAGACAATACCGGAAAAACCTTAACAAATCATTTATTTATGAATTTTTATTGAATGGGGTCCCTTTTCATATTCATAGTCCACGATACATACACGATTTACATGTCTAATAGACATTTCCGATAAGAGGATGTACTTGTATGTTGTATTCTAATTCTAATCCGCAATGTGATTCGAAATTCGCGCCAATTTCCCAAGCAATGCCATCTGACAGTAACTTCCCGAAGCTCGTTCTCATTCGAGTTCGACTTCCAGAGAAATCGATTCGACTTTCCTCAATTCGAGTTCTCATTCGGCAGCCATTATGCTTTCCTTTTTATTAAAGGATTAAAGGATAAGGACTGATGGATTTCAGTCATTTTTGCCTTTTTTACCCGAAAATGACCAGCCACGCTTCTCCATGGCTCCTTAATCGTCAGGGATACTGTCCTGCCCTGGCGATTGGGGTTCCATGGTACATCCATGTTGTAGCATGGATGTAGCATGGATATGTGCATGGATGCCATTTTAAGGCGAAAAATGGGCCAAAAATTATTGGAATATAATCAAAAAATTATTTAAATGCTGATAGACAAACAATTGGTCCCAATTAATACCCATTAATAGGTTATTTTGTATAATTAGGAGAAATTATTGATGGTGTGCTGTGTGGTAAAGAAGTTCAGATGGGAGAATGCCGCGAGATGGCGCCAGTGTTAAATTATCGAGTCGGCGGGAAACTGTCAGCAGTCGCAGATATATTTTTTATTCTATTTCACTTATGAATATTAGATAGGTTTGGGGGGGCAGGGGGGTTGATTTGGAATATTAGCACCAACCCATTTTGCCCCATTTGGCGAATTTCGCAATACATTATTGTCGTGGGCGGGGCGGAGGGGGAGGGAGTCAAGGGGGAAATAGCTCACAGACCCATTTCGCCCCATTTGTTATTTATTTTCTGAATGAGC